ACTTAGGGTAGACAGCATAGTTTTATCCCCATTAGTTCCCCCCTAAAACCCCCCCCCCCCAGCCCACCCCTTCCAGCCTCTGGTAGCCATTATTCTACTCTCTACGTTTTTTTTTTAAATACATAAAGATTAACATCTTTTCTGCAAAAGGAACTCTTAAAAATGAATTAGAAAAAGCTAAGCAGAGATTTGGTGAAGGACATGAGCAGATAAGTCACACACCCCAAAGAAACACACAAGGTTAATAAGTAAATTCTAGGATCTGGTTGTGGGTGGGGGTGGGGGTAGGGCCCGTGGTCCATCTCCCAAGACCCACCTGGACATGGGGCTGGCTCTGTAGCTGGCCTGGATGTGCAGTGGTAGGGGCAGGGCTAAGGTCCATGGCCCTCTCCCTCTCTTTTATAAAGCATTACAAATTGGGGAAGGGAGGATAAGTGAATGTGGAGTTTTTCTCTTTCATTGAATCCCTCTTAAGACAAGGCTTGTGTCTCCTCCACACATGCAATAGGCATTCAAAACATAGCTGTTAGTGAATTTGGGTGTTATGAATGGAAATGATGTGATTGATGATTATAGAATGTCAATTGCTTTTGCTTTCAGGAGGACATGGAAAGTGACAATATTCCTGTCCACGGGAGGAGGGACCAAAAGTTCTAGTCTCCTGGTGGGTGATTTCACATAGCTGGAGGACCCTCTCATCACATTCAACTCTATGTCCACCCCAGCCATGCTGACTGCTGATTGCTGATGCTTGGAATGGCCAGTGCAGTGTCTGTACCCTGAGGATAGAAAACTCCAGTAGCCTATCCTTTCCTAGGTCTCTGGGACTACAATCCCTGACTTCTAACCCAACATTGGGTCAGAAGGTTTATAAATGAATGTTTAAAATCTGATTACTCCAATTCAGTGATTGCCTATAGCAACAAACTGTGACATTTGGTAGTGGTATGTACAACGACAAAATGCTAGGGTACTTAGAAAAGTTCGTGGAAAAACAGAATTGATAGATAATATGAATCTTTCCATGAACTTTTTGAAGTATCCTCATACTTTCAAATGATGACATTAGGATCTATAGTATTGGAATGCTACTTTATGAACTCCAACTATTTGAAATTGTTTGATAAACATCAGTGAAGCCTGGCAAAATTCATAACTAACTCCTAATTCCTAAGGTAGGAAGATGAATTATTTTCCTCCATTCATTAAAAAAATGCAAAAGATACAAGAACTTTCATGTGTGAAATTCCTCCTTCCTTCCTGCCTTCCTTCCTTCCTTCTCCCTTGTTTGTGGTAGATCCCACATTGATCTATGTTACTGATCCATCCATCCACTGTGTTGAGTGTGTACTCTGTGCTGAGTCCAGGTCAGCTGTTTTACAAATCATCTTTAAATTTGGATGTGTCTGTTTAGTTCCTTATTATGAGATTCAGGTCAAAAAATGGGGGGCGGGGTAAAGGAAAAAAATATGTATCTGTGATTTTCTCAGTATATCGTATCAGGATGCACATGTCAATTTGTCTCACTCATGGCGTTCACCAGATTTCTCCCTTGGAAAAATACAAGTGTCTTTTTTGTAATTAGTATGTTGCTTGTGGTATGATACTTTGAGATCATGTGAATATCCTGTTCCCCAACCATCTCTTACTTAGTGGTTTAGTATCCATTGATGATCCTCTTCAGAATCAATTATTATTATAATGGTGATTTTCTATTTCTGTTACCCTTTCTACATTAGTTGGTATTCTTCTATAAAGAAGAGCTTTCTCTTTTCTCCCTTTCTTCCACCACATTTTTAAAAGCACATTAAAATTGGCTCTCATGCCGGACTAAAAGAAAATTCCATCTGGGTCATCGTCAGGGCATCTTCACCACCTCCTCATCTGTCACAGACTCATCAAGGTCCTAAGGGACTCCCATAGCGGTGGGAGTCCACACTGGTCACCACAGCAATGCCCAATGATCCCAGCCAAATGACCCCTTCAGGTTCGCCTCTTTGGAGTTTCCATAGATTCCTGATACTAGAGACACCTTGGCAAGCCTGGGAGCCTCATGCCTAACATCATGCCCCCATGGTGCCCATGGAGTGGTTCAACACCAACCTGTGATAAGCCTCAGGGAAATCCCTCCTCCCTTTGGTTGCTTAGAGGCACCCACCTCTCTTCTTTCCTTTATTATATAATATCAAGCATAATTGCCTTAGTGTCTTAGTCTTTCACAAAAGATGGGAAAAACTTTTGAATTTGAGGCTACAGCTTTCCACACTCCAAGGAAATATAAAGGATCTGCTTATGACTTGGGTTAGGATAGCAGCGTCTACAAGAGGTCAGGGTATGAGAAACTCAAAAATGTATCCTGTCATGTAGAGTTTTTTTGAATGTCCTGGAAATACAGCTATGAGTTGTAATGTAGTTAAGAAAATGTCTTCTGAGTCCCAAAAACCTGACTTACAAAGGACCACAACATTTTGTAATGAGTAGAGCCAAGCAGTGATATCTACAACCTGTAAGTTACTCACTTCCTTCAAAGTAACGTGAATTAGCTTTCTGATGTCTCATTTCAATTTCATTTTCCCTCAGTATTTGCAGACCATTAATTTGCCAAATCCTGTCAGAGGAATTTGTTACATTTTTAAATTCAATTTTTGTTAAGCTTTCTTAGAGCTTAATTTTATTTATTTTTTATTTCTGTTTTTTAAAATTTTTTATTGAAAAATAATTGATTAAACATATTTGTGGGGTACAGAGTTGAATATCAATACCTGGTATACAATATGTGATGGTCAAATCAGGATAATCAGCATGTTCATCATTACAGAATGTAATTATTCCTCTCTCATATCCCCTCCCTCTCCCCCTTTCCCACCTCTAGTAACCACAGTTCTGTTCTGTCCTTCTGAAAGTTCAATGCATTATCGTGATTGTTGTTTCCCTCTCGCACTCACTCCCACTTACGAGTGAAGACATGAAATATTTCTCTTTCTGTGCCTGGCTTGTTTCACATAACATAATTTTCTCTAAGCTTATCCATGTAGCGGTGAATGGCAGAATTTCATTCTTTTTAATGGTTGAGTAGTATTTCATAGTGTATATATGGCACATTTTCCTTATCCAGTCATCCATCAATGGGCATTTAGGTTGATTCCATATCTTAGCTATTGTAAATAGAGCTGCGATGCACACAGGAGTGCAGGTATCCTTTTGAGATAATTTCCATTCCTTCGGGTATATACCCAATAGTGGGATTGCTGGATCATATGGTAATTCTATCTGTAGTTGTTTGAGAAAACTTCATTCTGCTTTCCATAATGGCTGTACTAATTTACAGTCCCACCAACAGTGTAGAAGAGTTGCCCTTTCTCCACATCTTCGCCAGCATTTGTTATTCTCTGTCTCTTTGATAATAGCCAGTCTAGCTGAGGTGAGATGATATCTCAATGTGGTTTTTTGATTTGCATTTTCCTGTTGATTAGTGATGTTGAGCATTTTTTCATATACCTGTTGGCCATTCATATGTCTTCTTTTGAGAAATATCTATTCAGCTTTTTTGCCTATTTTTCGTCAGATTATTTTTTTTTTTATTCTGGATATTCTGGATATTAATCCCTTGCTGGACGTACAGTTTACAGATACTCTCTCCATTCTATCGGTTTTCTTCTCATTCTTGATTATTTCCTTTGCTGTGCAAAAGCTTTTTAGTTTGATATAATCCCATTTGTTTATTTTTCCTTTTGTTGACTATGTTTTTGAGGTCTTATTCATAAAGTCTTTTTAATTTTAAACTTGCCAACTTACCATACATTTTTCTGACATTCCTTTATGCAATTTGTGTGGGTGAATGTATATGTGTATATGTGCATACATATTGACATCTTCATTCACATACATATATACATATATGAGGGTACTTCAAAAAGTTTGTGGGAAAATAGAATTAAAAGGCAATATGAATCTTTCTATAAACTTTTTGAAGTACTCTCATATTCATTCATATACATATTCATGTGTGTTTAGTTTAGTATTCTAAATAAGACCACTTGTTCCTATCAATATGTATATGTCATCCATTCAGACTTCTTATCTTGATACTATCTTTTCACCTCACCAATTCTTTATGTTCTTTGAAATCTATTTGAAAATACACAGTATCATCAATTACCTCATCATTCTAAGGTTCCTATTCCCCTTCTTGTTCTCCATGTCTGCACAGAAGACCTTACTCAGCCACGCTTTCTCCTCCTAGACCCCAATCACTCTTTTTATGTGCTTTTAGGGAGGACAACGAACTTCCTGAAGTGGATGGCACTGAAGAAAAGTGTGAGAATGTGATTACAAGTGAAAGTAGCATCCCCTGCCACCGCCTGCACATGAATGGAGGGGGTATTAATGGCGTCTTCGTGACAAAGGATGAGTGGCTCACCCCTCTCTGAAGGGCTGCTGATCTACTTCTCCAAGAAGCTCAACACTTGTTTCTGTGCAGCTGCTGAGCATCCCAAAATATCGAGGGAAGATTATATATTTTGTATCACCATTTATCTTTTGTAAGGAATTTTGAATGTGCTTGAAAGTGAAAGGCTACCAGTTATACCCATGAAGAACATTGAAATCATAAGCTGTTGACTACTCAAAATATTCTAAAATATTTTTCTGACAACACAATGTGTAAGTGCAGTCATGTGATGTTTGTAATTATTGATTTAAGCATTTCCAGGAATAGGGTTGGACATAACAATTTTTCACACTTTGAAGACCTAATGAGAAATAATTTTTCCAATGGAGAATATGTGGTGTAGAAATAATTTGAAATGGAGCTTTTTTGAATATTGTTTATATCACTTTGTATATGACTAAGTAAGCAAAAGTAAAAAGTAATTACTGTAAATGGGATGGATGAAAATGGGAGTGTTGATACACAGGGTGGAATTTTATCCTGTTATACCAACAGTTGCTTATATATTCTCTGAATATCAGTCTCTAGTAGTGCAGTCCTATTTGTTGACTATTTCCTCAATTTGTGAAAGTCCAACCTATGCTAATTTAATAAAATGCTAATCTTCTCTTTTTGATTGTATGACTGATTGTGGTCTGAGATTTATTTTCGCACTGTGGAACGTAGTAAGTCTAATTGTATTAGTTATGTTTAATCTGCTATACAGCCCTAGAAATGAATTATTTTTGTTGTGTGTATCCTTTTTCGAGGATATCTTATAGTTTTAAGAATTGATTTTATTTCTGGATAGGCCACACATCATTCTAAATTCTAATAATGATTATACATTTATTAGTGGAAGTAAAATTTACTGCTCAGTCTCACACTGCTATCACCCATAGTTAGGGCTATAGCAACAGTCTCTACCTCAGTTCTCTGCATCCAGTGATGCTCCTTGGATCCAGACTCTAAGATGAGTAGTTGCATGTAGAAGGTTTATTGGGGAGTGCTCTCAGGAGATATACCTGTAAGAAGTGAAAAAGGAAGCTGTGGCAGACAGACTCTATGGTGTCCGCACTATCATTCCCATGTCCTGATGTTCATGCATTCTTGTAATCCAGTCCCCTTGAGTGAGTATGGGGCCTGTGCCTTGCTTCTAATGAATGGAATACAGCAAAGGTGATGAGAGGTCACACTCTTGCAATTACTTTATATTATATATGAGTCTGTCCTGTTAGCAGACTTGTTCTAGAGACTCTCTTTGCTGGCTTGATTCAGTAGGTGGCCACGATGGGAAAGCCCAATGGTTTATAGCCCTCCTAGAATAACAGTACATAAACAGTATACCTAAGGTATTAAAGTATCATGGGGGAGCTATTAGGAAAGTCTATTAAAAGTCTCAATAATGACAAAAAAAAAGAAATTGAGAAACACTGATCCTAAATATGTTTCTTATTTTGAAGGCACGGGCTGAACCTGTTTTGATCACTAGATCATTTTCTTCACTGTTTATGCTGGTGGGAAGGGGATTTATTCCACTGGGAAAGGTCTGCTTCACTAAGAAATCCTTGTTGGGGAAGTATTCTATGCTAGCAAAGATGTGCTGTAACCTTGACAGTCAATACAATAGCAAAATAGAGCTTATATGTCCTCCTATTGCCTTTGACAATCACTCTGGATAATTAGAGAACAGTCAATCATCCATTGCATCTCTCAGCCTTAATTTAACAATTCTGTAATGTGCCACGAGAAAACACATTGCAAGGTGATATGTACTGGAAACAAAATGTAAAACAAGTGGAAATATAGCTGTCATTCCAGTCTCCATGTCTTTGTCAAAAACTGCTTGGTAAAACTGGAAAGATGGAAGTGTCTGAAAACCAAGTCAGCACAGGAAAAATTAGCTGGGATGATATTATGGACTTTTTTCACAGAAGAAATGTAAATGCAGATAACTTAGGTTTTTTCAGCGTAGTTTCATCATTCATGTTTTCCACAAGAACTAAGCAATATGAAACATGGTAATATAAAAGAATGAGTGAGTTACTGCATTTAGAATGACAATGATCAGATTCCGGGTATAAATATTACCACATGAAATACGCACATTTATCATCATTCCTGGATAAGGAACAAGGAATAGGAGAGAACACAGGTTAAGAACTAAAAAGCGTAAAAAGAAACTCAGTCTAAATTACCAGTCTTTATTTCAAATTCATGGGGCCCCTTAACATAATATTTTGTTTCCCATTTTATATTTTGTTTTCCTTCATAAAAAAATATACATGTATGTTTAACTTTGATCACATAAGCAAATGCATAGATGTTTTCTTTCCTTTGCACTTTTCTTCCCTTCTCCCTTCCTTAAGAATCTATTGAATGGCCAACACTTTATTCAGGATATCATGCTAGATTCAGAGAAAGAATGTCCTACAAGGCACCAATTCATTATTTATGATGACATTAAGTTTATAACTAAGAAGACCATTCTTAAGGGAATTTTGGCTTGAATGAATGAATGAATAATTTATAATTGTTATTTACTGAGTTATTCTTCTGCTCTTTATTTTCATAGATTGTTTGAAAATGATTTTTATATCAGTTATGGGCACAGAATAAGAGCCAATTTATAATACATGACATTAATCTCCTCTTAATTATTATAACACAGTAGAGGTAGTAGTGGGGTGCAAGTAGTTGGTGTAAGTCTCTATGGTGGTCCTGGGCATTAGGGGAGTTTGGCCAGTAAAGAAATGACAATTGTGTCCCTAGATGTAATTTTTTCATAATTACCCCTTGATGTTGTTTATATTTTTTGAAAATTAGAGAATATATAACACTAAATACAGCTGTGAGGTGTTGGATGGAGACGTTTAATCAGACCCAGAGAAGGTGAACCTACTTTTTTTCCTAAGTGTCTGATGCCTTGTTGCCCGATCTGGAAGTAGGTTCCCAGAAGAACAGGGCTAGATCACACTGAAGACCACTGAAAAGGGTAGAACAAGACCTCTTGGGTGTGACATAGAGCAAAGGTGAGCACTAGCCACCATGGGCAAGCAAACCTGGAAAGTGCCATTGTCAGGTGCCTTGCTACTGTGAACAGGTGGCCCTCATTTGTAAATTTAGCAAAAGTTCAGTTAAGACTCATGTCTTAAATCGCTCTTGAAGTCCTCTGGACTTCATTTGTTATCCTAAGCTATTGGCTCATAGCCCACCATATTTAATAAATAATGAAGTATTCAGCAATATTCAGTTTATATCAAAATTGCATTTGAAAACTTATGAGGTAGAACCATATAAAATCCAGCTATACTACATATATATATATTTTGTGTGTGTGTGTGTGGCTGGCCAGTACAGGGATCAAACCCTGAACTTTGGGTGTTATCAGCACCACGCTCTAACCAACTGAGCTAACCAGCCAGCCTGCTATACAACCATTTTTGACCTACATAAACAGCAATTTTATATGATTCAATCTGTTAGTTTGCTAGTCAATTCTTTAAAATTTAGAAAAGCTACTCCTCATATAAATATGTCAACAGCCTTTGGGCCAGCTCACAATAACGTATTGACCTACAGTGTAGCTGAAATATAGTACCTTTATGATGTAAAATATTAGAAGACAAACTGTTATAATGCCAGCAATTTAATGAAAGCAAACAAAAAACACAATTTAATAAGAAACAGCTTTAATTGTAATTTGGTTGTCAGTGCTTGAGGAAAAGCAGACTTTGATGGGAGAGTAAGAAAGTACATGAAACTAGTGAAGAGAACTTACAGGCATTCTGAAGACCTTTAAAAGATATTACCCTGTATAATTTTTAAAAAGGTCTATACTCGTATTTCCTGTCGGCTTCACCACCATCCACTTGCTCCTGAACTCTTTGCTTTCTGGCTTGCATTCCCACACCCTGAGGAAACTGCTCCCTCAACGGTCACTATGAATTTCTGGTTGTCAAGGACACAGCTTCTTGGTCCTCACCCTCCTGAATCTCTCTGAAGTATTTTACAGTATAGGGCATCCTGTCACCCTCTTTGATACATTCTCCTTTCTTGGCTTCTGTGATATGGCCTTATACTTTTAATCCTCCTCTCTTTCTCTGACCGTTTCTAAAGATGTCAGAGAAGAAGTTAAAAGAGAAAGAGGTGAAAAATATTTGAGTGATATTGTGCCAAGTGTAGTTGAGTTCACAATAGTGAAAGAAAGAAGAGAGTTGCATCGTGTGCACAAGGAAGGCGATGGAAAAAAACACTTGGGGCTGATGGTTCTCTCTCCTGACCAGCAGTAGCTTGGATGCTCTCCAGAGAAGCTCTGGAGTAAGAGAAAAAGTGTGCAAGTAGTCACTGCATATTAAACAATTGGTTGCTTCACATGGTGGCAGAGAGCACCAGGGCCAGGGGAATACATATCCACAACGCTTTATCTGCAACTCCAAAATCCAGAAACCTCTCAAAACTATTTTGTAGTGACACCTGAGCTGAACAGATATAATGCTCTTTATGGTCTTCATTTATTATACTTAATGGTCTTTATTTATTGTACTTAATGAGACCATCATACTATTGAAATATTCCAGCGTTTGATGATAGAATGCTGCCCCAGGTCCCACTGGGAGTAGATTCACCTGTACTGCCTGAATTCTAATCCTAACACTATCATTTACTAATCAGGTGGCCCCAGGCAAGCAAGATTTCATCAAAGTGGAGAGGAGACAGTCCAGTGAAAGAACTTGTCCCCACTGGACATAGGCTACCTTCAAAAAGGAATTAATACTTGCTCCATATGCCTGAACAGTCATTGTGAGAATAGAATGAAATAATGAAAAACAGCCAAATTAGTAATGAAAATGTACTTTGCAAGTGAAATTTTCCTTTATTAAAATTGATATTAAAACTACTCAACTAGAAGCCACAAAAAGGAGTAAAAGTGCTTATTTAAGGGAAATATTTTACTATATGAATATATTTCCATATCTATGATGGCTGAATCTCAGAAGTAAGATAATCTGCCCATCTGGAAAGACAGAACCACACATATATCTGGCAGGGAGATAATAGGAGGGAACATAGATAAAGTATTTATTTGAATTTTCAACACAAAGAAGTTAAACAAAACACTTTAAAATAAAACTCTGCATGTATAGCTGCAAAGAAAGTACCTCAGTGGTGGTGGTAGGGTGGGGGAACATGGTGAGAGAGAGAGGGATTGAAAAGCTAATTATCCCAGCATTAACTTCTACCTGATCAAGTTATAATGATAATGTTTTAAAATGGTTACTTTTTTTTTTGAATCTATGACTGTTGTTGAACCAGTTGACATTTATCAAATCAACTGGCTTCCCAATCATTTCAGTCTGAAAATTTTATCTGACAGATGGACAAGCTGTCTTGTTAAATTAGCTAGTCAATATGGTAAAATTCTGTGCATCTGGTCAAATACTATAATGACACTTAGCCTCTCTTACATTGAGGATTGGCGCCACTGACATGTCTGCCAGGTATGTGGGGATGAGTAACCTGTCCTATTTTTTAATTGCTTGGGGCTCCTACAAGCAAGGATAAAAGGTTCTTGAGAGGACAGGGCCATAAGCCAGCGGTGGAACAATTCATTCAAATGATAAGCCTTTTGGCTTTCATTT